TATTAGAGTTCTTGATTTTTGCCATTCTATCTGGGGTGAGGTGGTATCTCAATGTTGTTTTGATTTGCATTTCTTTTATGGCTAGAGAGGTTGAGCAATTCTTCATGTGTCTATTGGCCATCCTTCTTTCCTCTTCAGAGAAGTTTTTCTTTAAATCTTTAGCCCACTTATTTATTGGGCAGTTGTTTCTTTGAGGATTTGTTGTTGGGGATTTAGTTTTTTGAGTTCCAGGTATATTTTAGATATGAGCCCCTTGTCTGTTGTATGGCTAGTGAAGATCTTCTCCCAATCCATGGGCTTTCTATCAATCTTGCTAGCTATGTCCTTTGCCATGCAGAAGCTCTGCAGCTTCATGCAATCCCATTTGTCCAACCTTTCTTTCATTTGCTGTGTTTCTGTGTCTCTATTAAGAAAATTTCGGCCTGTGCCAAAGAGACCTAGGGTTTCTCCTATTCCATCCTGTAATGTTTTCAGGGTGTCTGCTTTGACTCCGAGGTCTTTGATCCATTTGGAGTTGTTTCTGGTGCAGGGTAATATATAAGGATATAGCTTTAGTTTTCTATAGGTGATTAACCAGTTTTTCCAGCACCATTTACTGAAGAAAGCTGTCTTTCTCCCATTCTATTTTTTAGCCCCCTTACGGAAGGTTAGATAGCTCTAGATCTATGGGTTCATTTCTGAGGTAGAGCCCAGATTTTAAAAAAGAGATTTTCATTTAAAAATCCTTTTGAGCTATACTGTGGTACAAACATTTAGCAACAGTGCATATGAATCAGAAAGGAAGAGTCCAAAAAGAACAACTTGTCTGCCAGTCAGGATTTGAGATGAATATTTATGAAAACAATTGGCAAACAATCTGGGAAGCAAAGCCTGCTGGAGCAGCTGCCTCCCCCCGGGGCCAGGAGGAAGGCACATACTTCCTCCATATGCCTTGCGCGTTTTAATTTTGGAGAACACAGAGCCCTGTGCCCACTCTGAAGCACAAGGGTGTTGTTTTGTAAGGCAACGCTGAGCCAAGATGTCTGCCTTCGTTTGCAAAGAGGAGCTGTAGACATTTTAGATGAGACACAAATGAAAGAATGAAAAGCCAAGCAATTTAATCTAAAAAGACGAATCTGAGCTGGGCCCTGGTGGCTCACGCCTGTCATCCTAACTACTCAGGAGGCTGAGATCTGAGGACTGCAGTTTGAGGCCAGCCGGGGCAGGAAAGTCTGTGAGACTCTTATCTCCAACTAAAAGCTGGAAGCTGGCTCAAGTGGTGTATATATATTACACACATATATATTACAACATATTAAATATTATCTAGTTTATAGTTATATATATATATAATATAGTAGGTGTATTAGATAACATGCAGATGCTACCTACTTTCTCCAGACAATAAAATATATATATTATCACATATTTTATTGGAGGTAAGAGTCTCACAGACTTTCCCATCTGGACGGGTTTGAAATCCCAATTCTCAGACCTCAGCCTCCTGAGTGGCCAGGATGACAGGCGTGAGCCACCGGCACCTGGCAGACCTGTACAAGTTTTAAAATATCAGCTGATTAGTATTGAGAGAGAGAGAGAGAGAGAGTGAAAGTTACTAAGGAGCAGCATACAAATTGTGTTTGGCACTTAGAAATAGCTAGCTAGAAAAAGAAAGAGAGCAAAAAGAATGAAAGAAGAACACCTCTCTGGGTTTATCTGTTAAATTTCAGCAAAGTACTTAATACTCCAAAGTATTAAGCACGCTGCTACCTATAATATAATGAGCACCAAGCTGTCATTTTTAATAACAGACTGACGTTGGCTATCTACAAGTTGATTCCCTGAAAATCAGCAGCACCATCATTCGCATGGTGAAGAACAGAATTTGAGCTGGGTGCTGGTGGCTCACACCTGTCATCCCAGCTACTCGGGATGCTGAGGTCTGAGGATCATGGTTCAAAGCCAGACGGGGCAGGAAAGTTCATGAGACTTACCTCTAGTAAACTACTTAAAACAGTGAAAGTGGGAGGTGGGCAGGGAGGGGAAGGGGAAACAAAGGAGGAGGCAACAATGCTTGGTAAGAAGTGGACTCATTACCTTGCTCATTTAATTGTAACCCCTCTGTACGGTATTTTCACAATAAAAAAAAAAGAAGCTCACATTTACAATAAAAATAAATAAAATAAAAAAGAGCGACAGTGGGCTGTGGCTCAAGCGGTAGAGCACCAGCCGAGAGCAAACAGGTTCCGGAGCAGTGCCCGAGCCCCGAGTTCAAGCCCCAAGACTGGCACAGCACAAAACAAAGGAAGATTACAATCTGACTCTCCTAGCAATAAGAAAGTATGATTTTGTAATATTTTGGCATCATACTATCAAAACTAATGTAAATATATAATTATCTATGTATTAAGTCAGGAACTGGAGGTATGGTCAAGGGCAAAAAGCCAAATGAGAACTAGAGGCCCTGAATTCAAAGCTCCCCGTACTGACACAAAAGTACAAAACAAAGTAATTTTTGTGATCAATGGATGCCAGTGGGCACTGGCGGCTCACGCCTGCAATCCCAGCTACTCAGGAGGCTGAGATCTGAGGATCACAGCTTGAAGCCAGCCGGGCAGGAAAGTCTGTGAGACTCCAACAAACCACCAAAATGTCAAAAGTGGAGCAAGTGGTCGATCACCAGCCTTGAACACCAAAGCACAGGGGCAGCGGCCAGGCCCTGCATTCAAGCCCAGGGCTGGCACAAAGGAAGCGGACTAACTAACAAAAACTCAGCAGATGCCGACAGTGATCCTCAATAAGCACCCACAGCGTCTCAGGTGCTGTTGGTGTGGATAGTCTCATAGCTCTTGCCTAGCACGAATGGGGTCCTGGGTTCAATCCCAAAAGAAGAAAACATACATATCCCAGACAAATACAATAATAAAAAAATTGAGCCAACTACTCAATCATTTCTTAGTTATTTCTGTTCAAAGCCAGACAGGAGAGGGCAATACCATAAAAACTAACCATAGCCAGGTGCCCTGGCTGACACCTATAATCCTAGCTATGCAGGAGACTGAGATCTGAGGATCAAAGTTCAAAGCCAGCCCGGGTAGACAAATCAGAAAGACTGTTAATCCCAATTAACCATCAAAAGGACAGAAGTGGAACTGTAGTTCAAATGGTAAAGCACAAGACTTCAGTGAAAAACCTAAGGGGCCTAGGTCCTGAATTCAAACCCAGTACACACACACACACACATACACACACACACACACACACACACACACACACACACA